ATTGCTGGAGGTACGCACAAATATTGATAGATGTCTTGTAATGCACTATTGAGGAACCTGCGACCCAAGTTTTTCATTCAATGCATAACTACACCATAGTTGTGTAGGCCTATATGATATGTCAATAAACCTTAGAAAACCTTGAAATCTTGAAAGGGATGTGCAAAATAGTCATTATATACAGTCTTTAATGAACTATTAGTAGAGAATAACGAGTAATGAATATACTTTATAGGGATCCTATTAATATCTAATAATACAAATAATGAAATTCAATAACATGCTTTAACCACTAGGTGTCCCTTTATATCAGCTGTGCACCTTTATGGTGTAAATACAGCCTATCTACCAATTGGATCAAATATAAAAGTCAGCCGAATTAGTGTTGATACTGCAACGAGACGTATTGTGTGAAAAGAAATGTAAGATGTTGTTTAATGGCTGATATATTTATGATCCACGTCACGTTTTCAGTTCCTCATGTTTGTCTAGAAGTCTTCTCATCAGGGCTCTATAAATACAGAACTACGGCAGATATGTAATATTTAATGCAGCTGAACCGTGTATTACAATGGCGGTATGTGATGACTTCCAAAGAGAAAAGCAAGCACATTCGGAATAAAGTATTATTGTATTTGTTTTCAATGTTTTCGGTCTGTTTCCGGTATTTGTTAATGACGATGTGCTGTGAGATGTGAGACTGGAATTGCATAGGGGAAAATAACGTAGGCTATCTTTAGATGCGGATTTTGTTAAACTAATATGTTTGCGCTGTGGACCAACACTATACATTGACGGGGAAGGGGGTAGCAATAAAGATAACACCATTAAACAGTTACACAACATAACAGAAATAATATCGATAGCAGCGTTCCTAGCAACCACCTTGGTAACAATGAAAACGTTATGGACGCAATTTCCTGAAGTAATCTTCGTAATAACTAGCAAACTAAAGATCATGTGCATCCACTGCACACATAATCTGAAATAACAACTCATATTTCTCGCATCAAATGACATCAAAACGCATTTTAATGGCCAAACTAAATTTAAAATAGGTATTTTCCATCGAGAATAAAACGATGTTCGGCCATGTTTTTTTTTTCTTCAGGGAGAAATTTGAAGATCACGTGACGTCAAACAGAGCACATGGTGTAGTCCAAACGATAGCTGGGGATTCTGGGTAGTGTAGTGTCTTCTGCCATCCTTTACTCCGAAAAAACATTTGTTTCTCCGAATCGAAGGGGAAAAATACAAAAGCATTGCACACAATTTAAACCAATCAATGTTGTGTAATTAACAAGGATAATCTGGTGTTTTTTAGTCGATGAGTAGTGCAGATATCACTGTAAAATCAATCGACAGTAAGGGGAATACTTACTTCCGGGTGTACAATTCTCCGTTATCCAATGAGAATGGACGCTCACATTGCCTTTAAGGGCAGCCGACACAAACGAATGCCGTGCTTCCATGAGCGTCTATAGAAGCATATGGACATCCCGGAAAGCTGAAAATGGACGCTAAGGGCCCCCCCCCTTGCGTTGAAAATGGACGCTAAGGCCCCCCCCCTTGCGTTGGAAAAAGCCGACAGGGAACTTGACATAACGTCAACATAGGCCGACCTGGGAGTGAGGATGTGTTGGTTTATTCGCCTGCGTATCGACCCCGTGCGTCAGAGGAGACGCATGGTGTACATTCCTCCTTCCGTGGGTTTGGATTGAACCCACTGGAAAAATCTCCACGTCAGTGGGCGTGCCCCTGAGCAGAGTGACGTCACACACCGCAGTGTTCACAGACGCATCTCTCGCAGGCTGAGGAACGTGCATGCCGCAGGCAGTGGGGGGACAGTGGCTGAGTCACATGTCTCTCCATATAAACGTGCTGGAATTACTCTCCATATGGAAAGTGCTCCAGCACTTCGCCCCGTTGCTGTACAAACAACATGTGTTGATTCGAACAGACAACAAAGCAGCGGCGGCCTACATAAATCGCCAGGGAGGTGTTCGATCAGCGCAGCTGCTGAACACACATCCTACACAGCCAGATGGACAGCGTTCCGTTTGGTGTGTAGGGAAAATCCTGGACCCCGTTGGGCCCCCTGCCTCGTGCTGTCGTTCCTGTTGCTGGACAGGAATTGGCTTATAGCACGGTCAAAACATATGCTGCTGCCATTTCATCTTGCCACGTAGAGTGGTGTCAGCACGGTGTGTAGTCACCCTCTGACGAAACGTTTTCTACGGGGAGCACAGAGACTCAGACCTGTGTCACGCGCTTTGGCGCCTCAATGGGTTTTGGCTTTAGTGTTACGCGCACTGAGTAAAGCTCCATTTGAACCTTTAGATCAGGTTCCCCTGAAGTTCTTGTCAGCCAAAGTAGCTCTGCTATTGGCTCTGACATCAGCTAAAAGGGTGAGTGATTGGTCTGCTCTCTCGGTGGCTCCGTCATGTCTCCAGATCCAAGGAGATGGCAGTTCAGCTGTTTTGCGCCCTAACCCGGCTTTTATGCCAAAGGTGATCACAAGCTCTTTTAGATCGAGAGTGATAACTTTGGATGGTTTCTTTCCTCCTCCTCACACATCAGAGGAAGAAGCCACATCTCATCTCCTCCGTCCCGTGCGCGCGCTGGCATGCTATATTGCACGCACGGCTGCCTTACGCAAATCCCAGCGTCTGTTTGTGCATTACTGAGAGCGCTCAATAGGGCAGCCTCTGTCGGCACAGCGCCTGTCACACTGGCTGTGTGAGGCTGTGTCATAGGTGTATGTCTCCTCTGGGGTGGATCCCCCGGAAAACATCAAAGCGCACAGCACCAGAGGATTTCCCTCCTCTACGGCGTTGCACGGAGGAATGACAGTGGAAGACATTTGCACTGCTGCATCTTGGTCTTCACCCTGTTCTTTTATTCGTTTGTATTTGAGGGATGTCTCCCATTCATCTCTGACACATTCAGTACTGAGTGTCCTGTCAGAGTGAGTAATGTCGGGGACTCAACTGCGTGCCCTCTCTCCTGCCTGTCGGCACTTAGAGAGCTGCCCTTTTCCCCCCTCTCTTGATCGTTTTAACAAGTGGGACTTTTTTTTTTTTTTTTTAATGCTACATTTCCATGGACTGATGCTCCATTACGCATGGCGCAATGGACATGGGTTATTAATTGAGTAGGTGTGTTTTGTACTTCTGGTAACGGACGGACCAGTGGGGCGTAGACTACATCCTGCTTCGCCCTTAACCCAATAGTGATAGCCTTGGAGGGCGAAGCCTTATACTCATAGAAGCTGGGTTACGTATTGTAACCCAGCTTCTATGAGTATAGGCGCAGCCCTCTAAGGTTCGGGCCCACTGGCTCAGCGAATAGCTGAAGAAAAGCTGTTTGTGTGGGAGTGGATTGTCGGGACTACTTTCTATTTATACGGAAGTGAGCCCCACGTCATAGGTGGGCGTGGATTAAGTCTGTCAGTGCTGCACACGTGCTGTGGGATTACCCAATAGCGATAGCCTTAGAGGGCTGCGCCTATCTCATAGAAGCTGGGTTACAGTACGTAACCCCAGTTTTTCAGTAAAATAGTAAAAAACAAAACTCTGAAGACATACTCGCACAATCTGTGTAAGATTTAAGCATTTTCAGACACATGGCAACCCTCACATTAATAATAATAAACGTTATTTATACCTTTCATGCAACATTCAGCCCAAAGAGCTTTACAGAGACAACACAAAGAGTGAGGGACATTATTAACAACAAGTTATAAACAAACAAAGGGTTATTTCATTTAATTTGTTCCGTTCATGGTATGCAAACTTCATGTATAATTAATTGTTAACAAAACTTGTCTCTGTAAACACACCGTTAACCGAAAAGGAGCAGGGAGAAGAAGATAATCTCATATGACACGCCCCTTTCTAAAAAAAATAGAAATAGATGGTCTGTCCTTCATATTTCTTTTACAATGCAATACAATGACCCCAACATAAAAACATGGGTCTTTAATCTACTTTAAAAGCTCCAATGGGAAGCTGCTCCATAGAAACAGAAAGCAGCCTCCCCAGATCTCTGTGAATATAAGGTTACACTGAACTTCTACTTTGTGTATTCATACAGCACATTTCAACACAAGGCACCTCAAAGGGCTTTATAAAAGAAAGACATTAAGAAACACATTATAACATGTCATTTAAAACCAGTCATTACAGAGCAAAGAGAATCAAATAAACACAACACATGAATAACACAGGTTTAAAAGACATGAGTAAAGGTTACAGAGCAGGGTGAGGTACGAGTAGAAGAATTAGAGGATGAAACCCATGCACACACAGGGAGTTGAACCTCTGCACTTAACCCATCTTAGTACTGGGAGCAGTGGGCAGCTTGCAGCCTTGCTCAAGGGCACCTCGGCAGTGACCAGGAGGGGAACACCTCTCCTACAGAATCAGTGAATGAAATGAACTCAGAGTGAAATCCCAGATCAGATCAGAGGGTCTTCTCCATGTTGTCTTCAGCGATCGTTTGTTCTGTTAAAAGTCTCCTTGTCTCTTGTCTTGGTATCTGTCTGTGTTCATGTTGCACGTGGAGCTGCTGTGAGGATATTTGGAAATAATCATTTGATTATATTGGCAATATATTACATTCTCAAAGGTTTATTTCTCATGTCTTCTACGTTTATAGGATTATTTAATGACATGGCACTTCATGATAACAGATCAATTACAGATTGCAGAACCTTTCTGATGTTTTGGTGGAAATTAAGTTATTGATTGCAAAAATCACTCTCAGCGTTAATGTGACCAGGGGCCACATCTACCGCTGTGTGGTCTCTCAGGAGGACATCAAGCATCGGGTCTCTGCTCAGACCTTTGGTGAGATGAGTTTTAATTATGAAGTGATGTTAATGGCTCATGTGTAATTGGGTTTAGAATATGTAGATGTCCTTAGTGATGTTGTGCTGTCAGTCCTGAACATTTCAAGTTACATTTATATTTTTCAATGATGTTTTTCAGAGGACAGCTCAGGGACCATGCTTATTGTTGGCATCACTTCATTCGTTTTGGGAGCTGTAAATCTTGCTGCAGTTCTGGCTTTGCTTGTATTTGCAAAGTGCATCAAAATACTCCACAATAAAGGTGAGTTAAAAACATAATTTGTATTTATTTTTAATTAGCAGACACCAGAGTGTTGTCTCTGTGTCTTCTCAGATGTGCTTCATTGTGTTAGTGTTTACATCAGGTTGATTTATTGACCCCACAAACATCAATATATAAACGATGATACCATACGACTGAATGTGTGATTAATTTACAGCAGTGAAAATAGAGAACTACCTGAATGAGAAGTGAACATAGTATAAATAAAAGTATCAGTCAGACTGCAGATGAGAGTCTGATGGTCCTCAGGGTTCATCTGTCAATCACACATTCATTCCTGCTGAAGAACATTCAGTCAATAACTAACACACACTACCAACATGGACATGTTTGGTTTGGGTTATAAATAACATTTCTGGGTTGTATCAAAGTTGACTTTATGTAATATATGTTTTTATCTTCTCTGCTGCAGATTCTGCTCTGAAGGGAGAAGAGGAGATCAACCTACCGTCTAACGGGACAAACGATCCTGATAAAGATGCTTCAAAGCTGCCACTGCAGTCAGCTGAGTGTTAGCGTTACATCTGATGAAAAGGTGTGTGAACAACCTGAGTTTCCTGAGTGAGAGGACATTCAGGTCCTCACCTGGTGCAGACCTTCAAAAGCCTTTCTGAGGGGCCAGTTAGAATAAGGTTGATGTTAAACAAGAGTTACTCCAGGTGAAAAACCGTAACCTCTTTTCCACACAGCATTGTTTTGTATACCGAGTGATCAAAGCTATGAAATGTAGTTTAGCCATCAAGTGTGTGTCATTCTGGATTTGTTATTTGACTGATGTCCTAATGAATGTATTAAATATACATGTCTGGGGATAATTTAACTGTAAATCATGTCGTTACACACGTTTCTCTCCTCAGTGAGACTTATTGAGGGGATTTCTTTAAGTTGCAGATGAAATATGTGCCTTTTTAATATTCTCAGTTTCTCTTGTCTTTGCTCTCAGCTAATGCTCCTGAACATGTTATCATGTGTTATCTGAGTGTATTATCTGCCAAAAATGAACCTGTTGTAATGCCTGATGCCCGTAATGCCTGATGCCCATCTAAGAAATGCACTTCTGCTTTTGTTAAGAGAACTGAATAGGAATCACTTAACCCTGTACCTGTGTTATATGAGTGCACGTGTGAGTCATGGTTTATTGTACTGTGTTTCTCCGATGCAACACCTGTCTCACTAAAGACTTTACAGACTTCTTAATCTCTTTCATTTTTTGTAAAGCACTTTGAATTGCCTTGTGTTGAAAAGTGCTATATAAATAAACTTGCCTTGCCTTGCCTTGCCTTATAGACACATGTAATGAATTGAATTGAGTTCGGTAAAACACGGTACATCAATAAAAACATTTACATCAAAGTAATTGACTGTTTTTCAGTAATGTAGTCAAAACAAAACTCTGAAGACATACTCGCACGATCTGTGTAAAGATGTAAGCGTTTTGAGACACATGGCAACCCTCACTAATAATACACTTTATTTATACCTTTCATGCAACATGCAGCCCAAAGAGCTTTACAGAGACGACACAAAGAGTGAGGGACATTATTAACAACAAGTTATAAACAAACAAAGGGTTATATTTCATTTTGTTCCGTTCATGGTATGCAAAACTTCATGTATAATAATAAACATAACATGTCTGTAAACACCCCGTTAACCGAAAAGGAGCAGGGAGAAGAAGATAATCTCATATGACACGCCCCTTTCTAAATAAATAGAAATAGATGGTCTGTCCTTCATATTTCTTTTTCACAGCCAAACAGTATCTTAGGAGAATAAGAGAAACACAAGAAATACTTAACGGAAAGAAACAACACACCAACACTGAAACCTCACATGTAAGGGAAAGGAAAAGTGCAACACCCTCACCTGAGTCCTGCTGGAGGAGACGGCGGAGAGCGGCGCATCATAATAATAACAATGGGACCTGTAAATAAAGAACAGACATCACATCAAACATGTACCGAAGCAGGACCAGAGTACATCGACTTCTTCACATTCTGCTTCATATAGTCCCATTATTCTTAATTTATACAATTCCTTTAACTGAAAAATACAGTTTGATATCACAGAGCCATCAAACATGATCAGTGAGACCAATACAATGACCCCAACATAAAAACATGGGTCTTTAATCTACTTTAAAAGCTCCAATGGGAAGCTGCTCCATAGAAACAGAAAGCAGCCTCCCCAGATCTCTGTGAATATAAGGTTACACTGAACGTCTACTTTGTGTATTCATACAGCACATTTCAACACAAGGCACCTCAAAGGGCTTTATAAAAGAAAGACATTAAGAAACACATTATAACATGTCATTTAAAACCAGTCATTACAAAGCAAAGAGAATCAAATAAACACAACACATGAATAACACAGGTTTAAAAGACATGAGTAAAGGTTACAGAGCAGTGTGAGGTACGAGTAGAAGAATTAGAGGATGAAACCCATGCACACACAGGGAGTTGAACCTCTGCACTTAACCCATCTTAGTACTGGGAGCAGTGGGCAGCTTGCAGCCTTGCTCAAGGGCACCTCGGCAGTGACCAGGAGGGGAACACCTCTCCTACAGAATCAGTGAATGAAATGAACTCAGAGTGAAATCCCAGATCAGATCAGAGGGTCTTCTCCATGTTGTCTTCAGCGATCGTTTGTTCTGTTAAAAGTCTCCTTGTCTCTTGTCTTGGTATCTGTCTGTGTTCATGTTGCACGTGGAGCTGCTGTGAGGATATTTGGAAATAATCATTTGATTATATTGGCAATATATTACATTCTCAAAGGTTTATTTCTCATGTCTTCTACGTTTATAGGATTATTTAATGACATGGCACTTCATGATAACAGATCAATTACAGATTGCAAGATTAAAGAAGCCTTACAGTTTTAGGAATATCTATGAACCTTTCTGATGTTTTGGTGAAACTGTTGTTATTGACATTATGGATTCTTCCTAAATGCAAAAATGTTTGTCAAGGAAAGCTTTAATTGAAATAACGTTATCTTGATAAGTGAAACATATCTTTAGAAATAGATAAATGATAATAATAAATGTTTAGTGACTTTTACAATAATACCAAGCTCTAGTGGTCATTTAAAAATAATAATCTTATATTCAAATGTATACATTAATATATATTCTATTTTTCTGAATGTAATGACTAACAATTACTTTAAGTAATGAGAACTGGCTATTTTACATAAATGCTATTGCTTTTTTTTTTTACTTCTAGTGTTATTTTGAATGCAGGACTTGTACTTGTAACTCAGTATTCTTCTTAGACTGTAGTATTGATGGTTTTACTTCAATACATTAGTACTGAGTACTTCCTCCACCTCTGCTGGCTTCTACAAAGCTGCTGTTAATGATGTTTTCCGTTACAATTGTAGGTTAAATAAATACATTAAAAAAACACACCCACAGTGAGTCACAGGAGAAAACTCAAAACTCCTCCCTTCAGTTTCAGTCAGAAGAAACAGGAAATAGCCTAACGATGTTTACTTCTACATATTTCTGACATTTAACTTCAAATATAGTTATTCACAGTGAGCTAAGTGTACTCTCTGTCAACTAGTGTTGTTCCAGAGGGAACACATGTTTGGTGTCGGTCTTCAGTTTCTCTTCCTGCTGACATGTGGAGTTACACTGGGACAGGAAGACGGTAAGAAGCTGCTCTCAACTGCTTTGTTATGCTAAAGCTAATGCTAACGTTAGCAGCAGAATGCATTGGTTTCAGTCAAGTGGAGCTAACGTTAGCTAACTAGCTTAGTGTTGACCATAGACTGACAAGGTGTTGACGTCTCTCTCATTAATATGATCTTATACCAGTGGCGAGCCGTCAGGGCCCTCTAGGCCCTCTGTGAGGGCCTAAGATATTCTAAAAAAATTATATTTTAAAACATAAAAAAAATAATAGGCCTAATCATTTTTAAATATTATTTTTTATATTTTTTTGTTGTTACATTTTTCATTAGTTTTACCAAAATAACTTGATTTAATTGTATTTAAAATAATATTTCCAAAGAAATAAATCCTTCGAATCTGCCTGTTCAGTTTCTGTTTGAATGTGAAGGGTTTAAAACCGTCTCTGCGAGTTACTGTGAAGACGAGAGAGCTTGTTGGTCCCTCTCTACATTCACAGAGGGCCCAGCTATAGTAAGGCCCAATCCCAAACAACTCCCTCGACCCTACCCCTCCGTGACGGAGTGAACGCCGTCTGTAGCCACACTCGCAGCTCAAGGAGGCTCCCTCCTGTCAGATGGAGGGAGTAAACACAGCAGCAAGCTTTGGGACGGCCTACCCTCTCCGGCAGAAACAGGAAATGCCGTAACTGTGTGTAACAACGGTTTCAAATCAGCATCTCTTAGACCAGGGGTGGGGAACCTTTTTCCTCTCAAGGGCCATTTCAATGTTTTCAACATCCTCCGAGGGCCGTACAAATTATTGACCTCTGCTTAAAAATACTAAAATCTTTCTTTCATGCTGTGTAAAGAAAAAGCATGCATGCATGCACGTCAGCGACGTGCAGTCAGGGGAGGCAGGGGAGGCAGAGCCTCACCTGTCATAATCCAATGTAACGGAAAAACAACTAAAGAAAAACTAAATAGTAATAATAATAAAATGTCTCCACTGATCTGTGTTGTAACTTGTAAATGTGATTTCTGTTTGATTCCAATCGCTTTTTATAGTCAAAATCAGCACATTTGCAGAGCTCCTCCGCTACAACTACGGGTAGCGATGAGAAGTGAGGCAGGGACGAGCTCTGCCTCTCGTAAGCCCGCAGTAACTGGCTGGAGCGCGGGCACTAATTTAACGCGGGCACTTATTTTGTGAGCGCGCTCAAGCCAGTTACTGTGGGGTGAGGTGAGGCACAGATGAGCTCTGCCTCACCTCAGAATGCGTCACCCCACAGAAACTGGCTGGAAAGCGGGCCCTAAGCGCATGCCTGCACCATCTCACTGTATGTCACCAATGTAATGTTTGTAGATCCCTTTATTACATTTATCCTCGCCATCCATAGTCTCTAAATAACTTATTTAACGTGTATGATATTTAGGCTCGCTGGTCTCATCATACAACGGCAATGAAAAAAGCACCAGGGGAGGCAGCCATAACCTCTGCCGCACTGAAGGGGGCGCAAGTGAGCCCACAGGTTCTTGTTGCTACTGTTATTCTACGTAGAGACGGGGTAGACCCGTTCTTATTATACATCCATGGGTAGACCATGGCGGTAGACGCGATGCAAACAACAAACTAGACTTTTGAAACTACAGGAAGATAAGGAGGACTTTTACAAAAAAGTAATAGAGATTGTTGTCCAGAAGGATAGCATGGACTTCATCTTCAAGTCAAGGTAAGACCCCAATTGTAATGAAAATGGGATCTTACTAAGAAAGAACAATCCAATATTTAGATTGTGGGTATCCTTTTGTTGAACGGTCTGTTTAAAATGAATCGAAGCATCAGACTAAAAAAGCTTTTGAAAATAATCGAATATGTCGATTAAGGTCAAAATATGATATTTGTAAATCTGACTCTGAAAGAGTCAGTGCCTCACCAGCCATGAACCTCACCGCACGTCACTGATGCACGTGCACGGTGTGGCATGACCACCCAAACAGAAAGATATGGACACAAGATGTGTGCAAATGTATTTAGTTTCCTATCCATGTGAACATGATTTAAGTGGGGGGGGGGGACCTAACCTCCTCTTGGGGGGTCCGGGCGGGCAAGCTCCCCCGGGAAGATTTTTTTTTAAATGTTGAAGTTAAAAGCATCAATCTGGTGCACTTTGAGAGCAACATTAGTAGATCTATGGATACATCTCTCAACACCCATATGGAACAGAACTGTAAGCAGATTTTCTTTATGGATATTTTACAAATCACTCTCCTTTCAAACTGTATTCTTGTTTATTAATTAAAAAAAAAAAAACTTTTGTTTACTGTCATATAGTATTTTATACCTGTTTACTTTATTCTCTTATTTTTTTATAACTATAATGATCATATAAAGATGTGCCTTTACCTCACTGGTTGGAGAAAAAGCTTCTTATATTCGTTAGCATAGCTAGCTAACCAGATGCTAATAACAACAAAGTTATTGACTGTCTGTATGATCAGTGTGACAGATGAACAGATCGCCACTGGGCTTTCAGCTAAAGACACAGCCACGCAAAAACTGCAGCATGTGTACGGCTCCTTATGGGTACTGCCATTTTTGGAAGTGCCGGAGCGGAGCTGCGTTCTGGTGCTCTCCGTCAGAACTACACCCCTGTCA